TATGGGTGATATGAAAGTCATGGAATGTTAGCACTGCAGAGGATCTCAGAGATCAGTTAGTTTAACCCCTTAGTTTTATAGAATAGGAAACTGAGTTCCAGAAAAGTGAAATGATTTGCCAAAGGTCACTTCATTAATTAATGGCAGAGTCAGGACAAAGATGAATTTTTGACTCCAAGCCCAAAGGCTTTTCCCTTTAAACTACTCTTTATCTTCAAGGATACAATGTGGTCCCTGGCCTCAAAAGGCTAAGAGTCTAGCAATAGAGACAAGATAGATATAACAGCATCAAACGATATCAGACAGTACAAAATTCAGGGCTAAACTGCATAGTGCTAAAGGAGTCCAGAGATATCTGAAGGCCAAATAATCTGAAGGTGGTTCTGAAGGTGGAAAGTCTTCAAGGATAGCAGAAGAAGAAGCTGACTTCAAGAGGACGGAGCAATATGAGCAAAAGCACAAAAGGGGGGATAAGATGGAATTTTTTTGTGGGAGTGTGCAGAGACTGGATAAGTGATTAGTGTTGGAAAGTAGCAAACAAGAAGGTTAGATAGGACAGAGTAGGCCTAATTACACAGAGTTTTAAATGCCAGGTCGGATAGTTTTGATTTGAGATGCCTAAGTGCTAAGGAGCCCTAAGAATCTTGGATACTATAAATAAGGGGTCTTCTAAACACTGCCATATTCAAATAACCAGCCTGGAACAAGGGGTGAGGAAATAATTACAACCTATTCCAGTTGTATGGTTCATGATACAATGAGGTACACAGTGAACAGAGGAGTTATAAAAAATAAAGGGACAATATGACATAGTGGCACTAGCATTGAACTTAAAAGATCTGAGTTCAAGTGACAGTGTGTGATCCTAGGAGGTTTCATCACCTTTCTGAGCTTCTGTTTCTTGACCTATAAAATCATAATGTTACCCATTTTGTGTGAGTCTCATAAGAATAAAATGAGATAATGTAAAATTTAAATATAAATTTAAATGTAAAATTTAAAATGCAAAGAATTACATAAAGTCAATTCAGATGATGCTGGTGATAATGATGTATAATTGGGGGGTGAGAGTGGGGTGGTCTAGGCAGTGGTGATCTCCTCACATTTTAAGGGTGCATCAGAAAATCAGAAAGCTGTGTGACAATCAATGAGGAAACATTTATTAAGCACCTTCTATGTTCCAGGCTGCTAAACACTGAGAATACAAAAAGAGGCAAAAGACAGTCTCTGTCCTCAAGGAGTTCACAATCTGATTAATAATAATAATAATAATAATAATAATAACAATAGTAATAATAATACTAATGATAATAGCTAGCATTTTTAATGCTTGCTATATGCCAGGCATTGTACTAAAAGCTTTACAATATTATCTCATTTGATCCATGCAACAACCCTGAAGGTTAGGTACTGTTATCCCCATTTCAGAGCTGAGGAAACTGAGGCAAACAAAAGTTAAGTGACTTGTCCAAGGTGTGCAGCCATGAGTATCTGAGGCTAGATTTGAACTGGGCCTGACTACAGGCTCAGCACTCTATCCACTGTGCCACCTAGCTGCCTCACAAAGAACTAATATGTGCTAATAAGTTATATGCCAGATAAATAGTAAACAATTAAGAGAAAAATGGCATTACAATTAGGAGAGCGTGGGTGAGGTTGGACCCTAAAGGAAAACAGGGAACTCAGTAGGTGGAGATGAGGAGGGACAGTGTTCCCGGTACAGGAGACAACCAGGGAAAAGGTCCAGAGTTGAGAGATTGAATATCTTGCTTGTGGAATAGCCAGGAGGACAGTGTCACTGGATTAAAGAGTACATATGGAGGAGTAAGTATAAGTACGCTGGAAACATGGCTTGGGGCTAAGCTTTGAAGGACTTTGAATGCCAAGAAGACCAAAAAATGCAACAGATGGCTGACTCTTGAGAGGTGCATCCTCTGCCACCATCTTCATTGTTATTCCAACAAAGAAGTCAGATTGGTTGGACTGTTGGAGGGCAGAAAGGCAGCAACAAGTCACAGCCTTGAACTGAGCACCAACCTCTCTAACTTTTGCAAGGGGCTGCCTGAAGCTGGATCATAGGGGCAGAGAGAAGCTGGGCTTTCACTGACACTACTGGAATATGATCAAACCATACTGCTAATGCTGAGCTTGTCCTTGGAGGAAGGGCAGGGAAAGCATGAGGGGCCTTACTGCAAGGGGAAAATAGTGTAGTTGCATGGATTTGATGTTGCTGGGTAGAGTTCCTTGTCTATTAGTGTTCCTTTGTATTGCATGCATCCCTGGGGAAGTCTTACATGTTAGGCTGTGATGTAAGTAACCTGAGGTCTTGAGCACAGAGAGCACCAGAGAGCTGCTTTGCAGTATGAATCTTTCAGAATGTGAGTAAAAGCTATGGCATGCACAGTATTCTTCATCCTCTGGGACATATCTGAAGTCTCAGGACCCTTATATAGCCTTTCTTAATCTTCTTCCCATGGCAGCATTCCTGTCTTTCAACATACAGAAGACCCAGTCCCTTAAATGTGTATTTTTCTTTTTCATCTTCCAAAATTCAGTCATGGGTGATTTCTTCACAGTCCAAAGGCCAGACAGGTGTAACAAGGTGACTCTAGTTCATTCGCTCTATATAGCAGCCATCTGAAGTAGGTAGATGAGAGGTCATTATATCCATTTTCCAGATGCAGAAGCTGAGGCTTAGGGAGACTAAAGGCCCAGGTTCACAAAGTGAAGCAGTGGCAAAGTCAGTACTTACAACCCAGGTCACCAGCGCTCTTTCCACTACACCATGCCACCTTATTAACTCAGCATGACAATACCATAATCACTTGCCCTAAGACAGATACTGGGATGTCTATGGAGAAATTATTCTCATTGCCCTTATCCTTGTCACCAACCTCACCCCTCCACCCTTCCCTCTGTTTTACCGTCATGCATTTTAAGTGAGAGCACGTATTGTTGACAACCAAAGCAGACAAAGTGTTACAAATGGTCCCCCAGGCAGCAACCATCCCATCCAGGCAATATAAAAGAGTTATACTCAACTATTCCTCAGACAAGCCCCATGCTGGCTCCTGGCACCTCAAACAGGAAGCCCAAGGTTAAGTCTTCATTTTTCACTCCTAGAGTTGGCAGATACTAGAGAGGTGAGGGTAAGCATCTTGCTTGGCCTGAGAAGGATAGAGCCAAGGAGAAATCCCTGATTCCCATCCATCTAGTCCATTACAGGGAGAGACCACGAAGGCTCTGGACCTGATAGATGGAGATTATACAATTCAAGGAAATGGAATGCTTAGTCCAATTTTGTACCTCTGTCTAGACTATAGTTTTACTGACAGTGCCATATACTTATTTATCAGGAATCCTCTGCTTTTCCAATTAGTCAAATGACAAGCAAGTATTATTTTTTAATCTCTGAAAGGCAATTTGGTGTGTTTGGGGGGAAAACATCTTTTCTGATGGCAAAAAAACCCAAGTCCAGGCTCTAAAACTTATTATCTGTGAAACAAAGGACAAATCCCCTTACCTCTCTTATCCCGTTTCCTCATCTATTAGAGAAGATGGTTTGATTTGATTAAATTCAACAAACATTTATTAAGTCTACACTTTGAGCAGAATACCATGTTCAGTGCTGCAAGAAATGCAGCATTTAGAAAAAATGATGGTCCTTGCCTTCATGGAACTTTCATTTGGGGGATTATGGTACATAAACATAACTATAATACAAAATGAAACATGATGAATCCTTCACAAAGGTGTAAATAATGTGGTATATTTGGTTTAAGAATCAAAAAGTCATTTGTGATTGGAGTGGAGGAGGGTAAGCTTCCTGGAGGAGGAGGCAAGAGGATGGGTAGAAATTCAACATGCAGAATAGGGGAAAGCATTCCAAGAAGAGTAAACAGTGTAAGCAAAGGCCTAAAGGTGGGAAAGGTAATAGGTGCAGTTGATGTAAGTGGTCTAATTTGGCTGGAGCCTAGAGATAATAATATGAAATAAGGCTAGAAAAGTTGGGTGGCACTCACTAGATTGTGGACTGCCTTGAATGCTAGTGTGTATTTTAACTTTACTCATTAGGCAACAGGCAGCAATAAAAGGGTATGGAGCAAGGCTGTTAACTGGCCAAATCTATTCATAAAGATGATTGCTCTGGTAACTCTTCTGGAATGGATTGGAATGGGGAGAGCCTGGAGATGAGAAGACCTATTAGAAGGTTGTTGCACTAGTTTCAGCCAGAGGTACTGAGGATCCTCTCCTCTCTAGGTTAGTGGCAGTAAAAAAAATAGAGGAGGGACACGTTTGATAGCTCTTGTGAGGTAGATCGAAAAGATATTGCAACTAATTGAATGGAAAGTGAGGGAGAAGTTAGGATAATTTCAAGTTTTAATATGAGAGCTGAATAAGTGCTGATACCGCTGACATAAAGTCCTAAAGAAGAAAAGCTTTTAAGGAAAAGATAATAAGCTCAATTTGGGCTGTGTTGAGCTTGTGCTACCAGTCAGACATTTGTCCTATAAGGCATGCAAGATGCTAGTATGGAGCTTGCTGTAAAGATCAGGGCTAGAGATGTAGATTTTGTAGTCACATGCATAGAGATGACAGAGCCCTTTGTCCTTTGAACGGTACATATTGCTGAAGGTCTGTGTTGGGCTATCAGGCTGGAAGTCAGGACAGTTGATTGCTACTCTGAGCTGTCCCCCTAAATTCAGTATTATGTCCTTGGACAAGGCAATTCATTTCTTCGAGACTTATTTCACTGTGAAAAGGGAGGGGAGGGGAAGTGGAAGGGCAAGAATTAGACTGTGTTGAATACTCTCCAAATACTCTTTTAGTTCTGATATTGTATTCTAAAGTCCCAGCTGTGACATTCCCCATTTAATGTTCTAAGATCACTTCCAGCCTGAAAAAAAAGCTATGCTTCTGAATGACTCTTTTGTAGAAAGTGAGATACAATCAGAGGCTGCTGAATTCATCTTTCTCTGCACTTGGTTTTTCTTCCTCAGGTACGGTTTGAAGGCTTGACCGGAAACGTACAATTTAATGAGAAAGGACGACGCACCAACTACACCCTCCACGTGATAGAAATGAAGCACGATGGCATTCGGAAGGTGAGGGGCATTATGCTTTTGGTTCCCTATGGGAGAGAACTGGGCCTCTAGCCAAAGACTGTTGACTCCTCTTCCCCTTGCTAGGGTGACTCTGGGAGGCAATGTGGTATCGTGAAAGCAGCCCAGGACTGGAAGTCAGGAGATCTGGGTTCCATGCCCTGACTTTACCACTTCCTATCTGAAGAACTTTGGGCAAGATGGATTTAGTCTCAACTTCACCATCTATAAAATGGGATAGATGTGAAGATAGAATTGTCTGAGAAAGTTTTCTTCAAACAATACAGTGGTATACACAGACAAAAGATCATTACTGTTGAGTTATTATAATAGTCTTCAATTCAAGGGACTATTTACCAGGAATGTAACTGTCTTCCCATGCAGAGGAAGATAGGTGTACTTATTTGTTATTTAGACATTTTGATATGCATCATGTATGTGAAGCTCTTTGCAAACCTTCAGTGTTACTGTGACATTTTTCGCTATTGTTATCATTACTGCTGTATCTGAACCACTGTATGAGGCACTGTAGGCACAAACCTTTGATACCTTAAAAGGTCTACCCCATCTCTGAAGCTGATTATAGTCCTTCATGCTTATGTATTTCTTTTGTTGCTATGGACAAAAAAAGAAAAAAAAAACCAAATAACCCACACAATGTCAGGGTTAGAAGGACCCTCTGAAGCTATGCAGTCCCACCTGTATGTGAGCAAGACTCCCTTCTACACCATACCTGACAAATAGTTGCCTAATATTTGCTTAAAGGCCCTCAATGAAGGAAAGCCACTACTTTTCATGTAGCACTACACATTTAGATAGCTCTTTTCTTCTTTCGAACTTTTTTCAATTAGTAAGCATTTATTTTTTCTCCCTTTCCCCTCACCCTTCCCCCAAGTTGAAAAAAGAAGAAAAAAGTCCTTGTGGCAAATATGCACCATCAAGCAAAACAAACTTGCTCGTTGGCCACGTCTAAAAACATGTTTCTCATTCTACATCTTGATGGCTCTCATTGTTAAGTTGTTTTTGTTTTGTTTTTCCCTTGCATCAGGACTCTGAATAACATTTGGAAACTTTTACCCATTGCTGTAACATCCTTTGGATTCAAGGATAACAAATGTAGCTCTATTTTTTTCCCCCATGGCAGCCCTTTACATACCTGAAGATGGTAGCCTCATCCACTTAAATCTTCTCTTCTTCAGAACAGACATCTCCAATTCCTTTAGCCCTTTCCAGCCCAAATGCCCTCTGCTGGATGCTTTCAATTTTATTAATGTCCTTATTACAATGTGGCACTCAGAATTGCACATGATACTTCAGATGTGATTTCACCAATGCATAGTATAGTGGGACTATTGTCTCCAAGTCCTTGTCATTTTGTATCATTCCAGTCTTCTTACCTCATTTGCTAACATTTCCTCTTCAATCCAGTGACACTGACTATATTTTGTTCCTCACACAAGGTACTCTCTGTCTTCAGATTCCAGGCATTTTCTGTCTGTCCTCCATGCCTGGAACACTCTCCCTCCTCATCCACACCTCTTGGCTTCCCTAGCTTGCTTCAAATCCCAGCTATGATACCTTTGTCTACAAGAAGCCTTTCCTAATCTCCCTCAGTGCTAGTGTCTTCCTTCTATTGACTAACCCCAATTTATCCTGTGTGTAACTTGTTTGTATTTAATAGTTTTCATATTGCCTCACTCACTGAGCTGCTTGAGAGAAGGGACTGTCTTTTGCCCTTGTATCTCCAAGGCTTAGCTCATTCCTGGCACATAGTTGGTGTTTAATAAATGCTTATTGACTGACTGTCGATACAACCTAAGATCATATTAGCTTTGGCTTCCATATCATATTATTGACTCTAATTGAGCTTGAGATCTATGAAAACATGGAGATCTTTTTTTTTTTCAGATCAGCCTCTGTTTAGCCATGTTCCCTCAATCTTGTACTTGTGAAGTTATTTTTGGACACAAGTCAGAATTTGTGCATTTATTCCTATTAAATTTCATCTTATTAAATTTGGCCTATTCTTCTAACATGTCAGTATCTCTGGATTTTGATTCTGGCATCCAGCACATGAGCTCTCCCTCCTAGCTTTATGTCATCTGCAAATTTGATAAGCGTACCATCTATTTATAGTTCTTGGAGATCATAAGTTTAGAGTTAGAAAAAACCTTTGAAATCATATAGTCCAGCACCCTCATTTTACAAATGAGGAAACTGAGGCTCAGAGAGATTGGGACTTGGCCAAACACACACAGGTGGTGATTAACAATGGCAGAATCTGGGCCCCAGTCCTGTAACTACAAATCTAAACTCTTTTCATGGCACCATGTTGCCATACCACTTAGATGTGCTTTTGTCCAGATTATTTGTTAAAATGTTTAACAGATGCCTGGGCCCTTTACTGGAAACCCTTTCCCAAATTGATATCAGCCCTTAGACTTTTGGCCCAGGCATTCAGCCAGTTTTGAATCCATCTAACTGTACCATCATTGAGCCCGCATCTCTCCATCTTGTCCACAAGTGGCATGATAAACCAGTCTAGTAACTCTCTCAGAAAAGGAAGTGGCCTATTAGAGCTCATTTTTTTATGAAAACCAGGCTGGTTCTTTGTGATCCCTGTTCCCTTTACAAGATGGTCATTAATCACTGATTTCAGAATTTTGTCTGGAATCAGTCAAAATTCATTGGCCTATAGTGCACAGTACATTTTTCTCACCCTTTCCAGAAACCTGGACAATAGTTGCCCATCTTCCATCATTTAGCATCTCTCCCATTCTCAATAATCTTTCAAAAATCAATAGCAGTGGCACAACAATTACATTTCTTTCATTGTCACAGGATGTAGTTTTAGGAGGCTAGTAACTAGTACTCCTAAAGGGCAGGTGCTCGTGTTCTCCTGAATATTGGGTTTCAGCTTCCTATTAGCCCTGGCTATTCTTTGCAATAGAAAAATTATGCTTCTTGATGGGGAAAATGGAAGCAGAGCAAGAGTCCAGTAGTGCTACCTTCTATTCCATAATGGTCCAGTGGTACAGTAGATAGAATGCTGGGCATGGAGTCAGGAAGACCTGAGTTTAAATCCAGCCTCAAATAATTACTAGCTGTGTGACCCTGGGTCACTTAACCCTGTTTGCCTCAGTTTCCTCATCTGTAAAATGAACTGAAGAAGGAAATGGCATACCACTCCAGTATCTCTGCCAAGAAAACCCCAAATGAGGTCACAAAGAGTCAAAAATGACTGAACAGCAAGAATCTCTCTGAAATAGCAATCCCGTCCCTTTTAGGTCCATTTCTTTTTCTCAATAAAGCTTTAAAAGGCCTTCTTTTTGTCCTTAGGATTCCTTGCCAGCTTCAGCTCGTTCTGAACTTTAGAGTGGCTAATACTGTCATTACCAGACTATAGCATATTTTAAAAAATTTATTCTCTAATACCTGCTCAAACTTTTGCCTTCTATACATACTTCTTTCATCTTACACAAAGAGCTCCCAGTGTATCCAAACCTATCTCTCAAAATAGTTCTTTTTCTCTTCATCAGAATTTTTCTATTTGTTTCCTCATATTTTCATTTTTGAAAATGCCCCATATCCCCCAAGTCGATATCCCCTATAGATGTTTAATGCATGGTTTCCCTTTTGTGATCTCCATAACTTACACACAGTAGTGCCCTCCCTCCCTTTTATTTGTTTGCATTTTCTTTATATATTTTCTCTATATACATACACATATGTGTGTGTGTGTGTGTGTGTGCGAGTGTGTGTGTGCATTTGTTGTCTTCTCTTGTTAGAATATAAGCTCCTTGAGAGCAGGGATTGTTTCATTCTTTGTATTTGCATTGCCAGCACCTAGCATAGTGCTTGGAACGTAGTAGGTGCTTAATTAAAGGCTTCTTGATCAAGTGATTGATTCTTATCTCTCCTTTCTTTTAACCTTTTGTAATCTCCTTTTCTCAAATTTAGGTTCCATGTTACTTGAAATATATTCTTCCCAAATCTAAGGCACATCATCTGCTAGCCCACTTTTCTGATTTTGATCCTCTCTGTACTTAGCTGGTCTGATTTTCTGTTGTCAGACTCACATTCTACCATCAATCCCATATTGAAAGTATTTCTGTCTTAGTAGGATGGGAAGATTAGCCTTCTAGAACCCAGGGCTGCCTATAAGCTGTGTTAAGCCATAAAAGTAAGGCTTTAACAGAAGGGATGAGGGGATAAAAAAAAAATAGTAATCATTCCCATCCCCTCTTGGAATCACATACAATCAAAGAGTACAATGCCTGGAGCATATTAGATACTTATTAATGTTTATTGAATGACTGACTGATCTACTGATCTCTCATCTAGACTACTGCAAAAGCCTCCTAATAGCTCTCTTTAAATCTATTCTCTTCCCCTTCCAGTCTATCTTGTTCTTTTTCCCATAGTAATGCTCTTAATATGAGAATATCAGTCTCTTGTTTCAAAACCTCCAGTGACTTTCTCTTGCTGCCAGGATAAAATCCGTATTCCTAAGACTGGCATTCAAGACCTCCCACACTTTTCACTATCAGCAGGGTATTGGAGAAGATATGATCACCCTTTTTAATTATAGGAAGGGTTGTCACAGGGAAGAAGCATGAAATTCGTTTTGTTTAATCTCAAAAGGCAGAGCTAAGAACGAGGTGTGAAAGTTACAGGGTAGCAGATACCAGCTTATTGTATGGGAGAATTTTCTAACAATTCATAGGAATTCATAGGAATAGGATTTCAGAACTGGAAAAGGAATCTACCTAGTCCAACCCCCATATTTAACAGATGAGGAAACTCAAGGTGAGAGCTATTAAATGACATGTCTCTGTTATTGCACAGGTAGCTAAGATACATTCAGAAGTCAAACCCAGGTCTCTGGACTCTGATTCCAGTGTTCTCACCACTGCATTTTATTACCTGTCTTGAAACTTTCTATTACTGGAATAGTTCAAGTAGAGGTATGGTAACCACTTGGGCACATTTGACAGGGTACCTGTGGTTTGGCTAGTCATTGGACTTGAGGACTGCAAGGTCCCCTTCCAATCCTGAACTCAGTCATTCTTAAGTGTCAAGTGGAGGGCCACCTTTCAGTGACCTTCAGAATAGGAAGCACTTAAGACAACTACAGAGATTCAAGCTGGCCTTGCCTGTGAATGATTTTGGCTGGAAATTGGTCCAAATGTGAGGTCATTTTTGTCCTCAGCCCTTCCTCCGGAGGCAAGGGGCCAAAAGGAATGTTTCTTCTTTTCATTAAATACCAAGTCAGTGGTCCCAAGGAAATAAGGCAAGCCACCCAATTCTCTGCATCCTAGAAGAGTCATTAGGTAACTATGGAATCTTGAAGGTTATATAGATGCTGAATGGTAAATATACCAAAGTTCCACCAAGATAGAGCTTCTATAATGGATGGAGTCTGTGACAGTCATCTGAAAGTCTAGCTGTTTATGAAGAGGCTCATCACCAGAAAAGTTGACCACCAGGTGACATGCTCTAGATTTGCAAAGATTTATTTCAGATAACATTGTAACCTTAGGCAAGTCATTTATCAGTTTGCTTATCTGGAAAATGGGAAAAGTATTTTACTGCCTACCCCACGTAGCTGTGAGGAAAGCACTTTGAAAAGTTGAAGTTTTATATGTGTGTTTTACATATATATATACGATATTATGTGTATATGTGTGTATACATGCAACATGTGTATGTATGTGTGTGTGTGTTTGTCATCCTTGTCATCTTCATCATATCCCAGGTGAAAATAACAATACCTTCCCTACTCATTTCACAGATTGGTTTTGAGAATCAAATAAGATACGTTCTACTAAAATGCTTTATAAATGGTAAGGTATTTTATGGAAAAATACAGTGGAACATCCTTATTGTATTTTTTGCTATCTTCTCATTAACAGATTGGTTACTGGAATGAAGATGACAAGTTTGTCCCTGCAGCCACTGATGCCCAGGCTGGTGGTGATAACTCTAGCGTCCAGAACAGAACATATATTGTCACAACCATCCTAGTGAGTACCTAGCCTTAAAGCAGTCAGTCAGTCAATAAGCATTTATTAAGTACCTACTGTGTGCCAAATACTGTGCTAAGTGCTGGGGCTACAGAAAAAGGCAAAGGACAAAGGCAAAAAAAAAGTCCCTACTCTCAAGGAGCTCGCAATCTAATGGGGGAAGCAACTTGCAAATAATTATGTAGAAATAGAATACACAACAGGATAAATTGAAGATAGCCAGCAGAGGAAATTCAATGGCCTTCAGGGCGAGCAGGAAATGTTTCTTGTAGAAGGTGAGATTTTAGCTGAGATTTGAAAGTAGCAAGTATGGCTATGGCTTAGGTCTGGATTGAGGTTAAGCTTAAGTGTAGTAGGAAAAAGCACAGAACTTGCAGGCAGATCTGGGGTCATTTACCAGCTCAGCAACTAGATATGTGACCTTGGACAAGTTCCTTGGAAGTTTATAGGATTTGGAGCTGGCAGTGATTTTAGAAATCACCTAGTTCAACCCCCTCACTTCATAAATGAGAAAACTGAGACCCACAGAAACAAAATGACTAAACTCATGTTATACAGGTAGTAAACAGCAGAGCCAGGACTCCCACCCAGAGTATTTAATGTCAAATCTAATTTTCTTTGCTTTATACCACATTGTCTCATGTGAACCTTAGTTCCCTTATATGTAAAATAGGAATATTAATGATTGCCCACCTCACAGGATCATCATGAGAGCAAATGAGATAAAGAACAGGAAATTACTTCATACACCATAAAATTTTTATTGTTTAGCCATAAAATGATTTCTCTCTCTTTCCTCTTCTAGGAAGACCCTTATGTGATGCTAAAAAAGAATGCCAACCAGTTTGAGGGCAATGACCGCTATGAGGGCTACTGTGTGGAGCTAGCAGCTGAGATTGCCAAACACGTAGGTTACTCTTATCGTCTGGAGATAGTCAGCGATGGAAAATATGGTGCCCGAGACCCTGACACAAAGGCATGGAATGGCATGGTGGGGGAACTGGTCTATGGGGTAAGTTCACCAAAGAGCTGGGTGAGTTTGAAGTCAGTGGGTGAAACAAGGGTTTGGACAAAGGTAGTTGGTACCTTCTAAGAATTATGGGCCCCTGTTACCTACTGGTAGATGGTCCATGTCCCAACCGCTCGGCTTATGTAATCAATCATCATATTCCTGTAGGACCTTAAAGAATGGTATCATGAAAAAGAATGTTGGCTCTGGGGCCAAAAGTCGTGGCTTCAGATCTCACCTCCGATATGCACTACATGTGTGACCTTGGGCAAGTTTCTGAACCTCTGTGAGTCTCGTTTCCTCATTTGTAAAATGATGGGGTTGGACTAGATGACTTCTGAGGTCTCCTCCAACTCTAGAGTCATGAACATCTAGGAACTTAGCTCATGATAGAAGAAGAGTTAGAGTTAATGCTGAGAAATGAGTCTAACAATATTATTTTTTATGTGACCTCAGGCAAATCTCTTCTACTTGCTTAGCCTCAGTTTCCTCATCTGTAAAATGAGGATAACAATCTCCAAACTGTTCCCTTCATAGAATTACCATGAGGATCAAGTGAAACAAGGCACTATCTACATACAGCATGAGCATTATTTATAAACATGCTCATTGCCTTATTCCTAGAGTAAGGGCAACTCAAGAGTCTTTTACTTATAATCCAAAGGGACAACGCCTATCAAGCACTGTAACTCTCAAAGAACTCTGTATGTTGGCTGTTCCTGAGAGTCCAACTCTGAACTTGTGGTGAGGTAGAGAAAGCAGCAGGCTTGGAGTCAGCTGATATAGATCCAAATTTCCACCCTGCTACTTTCTGCTTGAAGCTTTTACCTTCCCTGGGCCTCTTCCCTCACTGGTAAAATTATGGGGAAAGGGCTTCGATGATTATGCTTCTGTGGTCTCTCCAGTTCCAACACTTTGTTCTGTGTTCTAAGTTTCCTTCTGACTGACATTTTGTAATTTGTATTTGTAAAACTCATCAGAAGTACTGTGAAACAGATATGGGGGGGGGGAAGTTACTTCATTCACATCTGGCTCCTGAAAGACATTTAGCGCAAAATGACCTGCTTTAAAAGAGATAAGCTGATGTGTTCTTTCAGCTGCAGCACCATTTTAGTTATCCAGTTAGAGGCCACTTACCTAAAATGACATCTCTTTGAAAGTTAAAGAATCTGTAGGCATCAGATCAGTCTACATGAAAATGAGCAAGAAGTTTAAGTAAAAATCATAACTCACATTTATATTGCAAATCAAGGTTTTCAAAGCACTTTGCTCACAATGCCCCAGGAGGTAGTGCAACTATTGTTATCCCTACTTTCCAGATGAGGAAGCAGGCACAAAGAAAAGTGAATTAACTTGCCTATGGTCACAACAGCTAGTGGGTGTATCAGACTGAAAGATTATTGTTCTTCCCACTCTCTAACAAAAGCTTCATTCCTTTTTCATGATAGCCTTCCATCAACAGCTCATTACAGTCATGAATTTGAGTTTTTTCATAGAGGACTAGGAGAGGTAAACTGAGAATAACATAAGGTGGTTGAGAGGGAAGCACTTTGTAAAACCTTGAAATGTAAACTTTGATGTGAACTGCTGTCACCTCAGTTTTATGCAAGTCGTATTTCGAGAAGAGGTAGAAGTTCAGTCTTTTCCTAAACCAATATAGCAGCTTTAACAAAGGAACAGTCTTCAAATATATTGACTAAATGTATTTCTCAGGCAGTAGGAAGCAGTCAGATCAGACAGAGCAAGGCCCTCCACTACCCCCAACATCTGTCAGAATTAGCCTCACATCTGGGCCGTTGTATTGGTATACTGGTATAACAGAATGAAGCTGTCAGCATGGAATAGGGACATATGGTCAAGGCTCTTGTTTTGAAAGCTGGTATTGTGACATCTGGCTATGGACATCCTTTTGGGTTTCTGAGCCAGCAGAGTTGTGGAATACCCTATGATGAAATACCCTGTGGCAGCAATTCATTACCCTTTTTTGTGATATAGACCTTTGGCGATCTAATGAAGCCTATGACCTTTTCCCAGAATAATGTTTTTAAATGCTTAAAATAAAATACATAAGATTAATAAAAAAAATTACATTATCAAAAAAATTAGAACTAATTCATCATAGACCCCAGGTTAAGAACTTCTGCCCCTTAGGAACCTGTTTTGGGGGGATGGCTTCTGTATTTTTTGAAGGAATTAAGTTCTGCTTTTTGAACAGAAACTCTGTTTTCACCAGAGAAGAAAGGAAGGTGAGAGTTGAAGTTCAAAGTATTTCTCAACAATCAGAATGGTCCAGTGATGATGTTGGTCATCCTTACAAGGTCATGAGCTCCCCATCACTGGAAGCTGTCAGAGTCTGGATGGCCACTTTGCCAGGGGTGTTGTAAAGAGTATTCCTATTTTGGTCTAGGTTTGACTAAATGCCTTCTGACCTCCTTTCAAATTCTAGGATTCTAAGATTCTGTTGGATGAGCCATTATCATCCTCTCCCCAGGAGACCTATTGCCACAGTAGCAATGTTATGTAGGATTTCCTTAAGTGGGTGGAAGAGCTGAATCTCAGCCTCTAGCACCACCATACCCCCCAGTAACCAGAACTTGCTCAAATCCCCATAGAACATGGCAAGGAAAGGGTTGGCACCTGGGCAGATCCTGCTAAAGTGGCTGTTAGCACTTGTCCTGTGGGAATTTAAAAAATATTAGAAGCTCAGTTTACCCAGTCCTCCTCTTACCTGGATCTTCATCTCACTTGGACTACTTTTTCATGTGAATTTTCTTGACCTACAAAGAGCTTTCTCTGCCTTTTTTTTCCAAGTACTTCATCACATCCTGGCAAAAGGTCTCCCAGGGTGTTTTCTTCCATAGAGCTATCTTCCCCAGTATGCCTTCCTAGGCCCTTCCAAATGCAAGGGAGGCGGGCTGAGATATCTCTCCAGGTTTCTGGATGATAAGTGAGTGCCTAATCCTGAATCATTTCCATATTGAGCTTTCCTACTTTTTTATAGCAGTTTTAATTTAATAATGAGTGCTTTCCAATTCACAAAGCACTTTTCTCCCAATAATCAGCTGAAGTAGGTAATATGGTCATTTCCTTCATATTTTCCTAGTACAAATATTCTCATCCTCATTCTAAAGGTGAGGAAACTGAGGCTCAGGAAAGTAATATGACTTGCCTAAGGTCATATAATTCATGGATGAAGAAAATAGAATTCAATTCATTACTTGTTTTACTGTCATGAGTTGTATAGGGGAAACAGTATTACTATCAATAATAAGTCAAGAATAGGAAATTTTCAGCGTATTCACTTTAGCCAGTTCCTTATGATGTCTTATCTCTGCAGTCTAGCCCCCTTGTATTTCATACAGTTTCCTTTCATAAATGCTACATTTCAGCCCACTCTCAGAACTTGCTGCTCCATTTTCCACCTACATTGGGCATTCACACAGGTGTTCCACAAGCGTAGAATGTATTACCTCTTCATTTCTGACTTTCAGAAACATTGTCTTTCTTCAAGGTTTCACTCAAGGCCCACCTTCTTCATGGAGTCCTCTCTACCTCCCCCTGCCACCATCCCTTCTGGTTGTTGGTAGTGATCTCTCCCTACTCAGTTTTTCTTAAGAGTGTACTTTCTGAATTATTTATACTCCTGTCCTGAGTAGAAAATATTCTTCTTGAGGGAAGGAACTGTGTCATTTTGTTCTTTGTGTCTTCAGCATCTGTCACAGTGCCTTACATACAGGATATGCTTAATCAATGTTTGTTGCATTGGACCCCCTTAGGATGGTGAGAGAAGTAAAAAACAAAGACATGAGGCTAGAAAGAGACTTACATGAACATGTTATGCTGATGTCATTTTTGTCAAACCTAATATTTTCATCATTCATATAAAACTTGGTGTAGTGGAAAGACTTGTCTAGGAATCAGAAGAATTAGGTTCTAGGCCTGACTCTTCCATTAACTTCTTGTTTGACCTTGGACAGGTTATATAACTTCTCTGAGCCTGCTTTCCTCGTCAATAAAATAAACTTCTATTATGTGACCTCTACAGTCCTCTCCAGGTATTCGGTATTTCTGTATATCAAAATTAAGTTGATATTTATTTTGTTTTTCTAAATTTTATTAGAATTTCTTATTTTGTATATCAACTTAATTTATAAATATATCTCTCTCCCCTACCCTGAGAATAATTCCTCCTAACAAAGAATAAAAGAGAAAACAAAAAAGAAAAAAAAAAGAAATTAGTTTAGAAAAACTAACCTGCCCATCAACTTGATCTGGCAGTATTTGGAATGTTCTGTGCCCGTAGTGTCCCACTTCACCAAAAACAAAAAATAGAGAGAGGGAAATGCATTTTTTCATCTTTTCTTTGCTACAAATCTTGGTCATTATAATTATACAGCATTGTTATAAGATTGTTCTTCTTTTCATTTGTATTGTAGTACTTGTGTATATTGTTTTACTGGTTATACTTACTTTACTTCATGTGTCTTCCCATGCTTCTCTATATACTTCATATTTATCATTTCTTATGGCTCATTAATATGCCATTACATTCCTATACACAACTGGTTTATCCAATGTTTAATTGATGGACATCAACTTTGATTAAAGTTCTTTATGTTTCCAAAAAAGGCAGTAGGGTATACATGCTACAGGATGACTTTCTTAAACCCACTTTTCCATGAGATAAGAAAAAAAGTTTCTAAAAGCTATAGAGTAGGCTGATTTATGCACAAATAGTGAGTTCCCTATCATTGAAAGTATCCAGGAAAAAGCTGAATGACCACCTGTCAGGGATGCTATATGAGACTCCTACATGGGCTGGAAAATTGTACCAGATGGATGCTAAGGTCCCAAATCTGAGATACTGTGAGTTATAAACAGGACAGTGGAGATAAGGAAGGAGGAAAACCAAGTCTGATAGACCTTCTTACTCCAATTAAATTTGTTTCCTTTTCTTCCAGAGAGCAGATGTGGCTGTGGCCCCCTTGACTATCACCTTGGTTCGAGAGGAAGTTATTGACTTTTCTAAGCCTTTCATGAGTTTGGGTATCTCCATCATGATCAAGAAACCCCAGAAGTCCAAGCCAGGGGTTTTCTCCTTCCTGGATCCTCTGGCCTATGAAATTTGGATGTGTATCGTGTTTGCTTACATTGGCGTGAGTGTTGTCCTCTTTCTGGTCAGTCGCTTCAGCCCCTATGAGTGGCACAGTGAAGAATTTGAGGAAGGACGTGACCCAGCAACCAGTGACCAGTCCAATGAGTTTGGGATCTTCAACAGCCTCTGGTTCTCTCTGGGAGCTTTCATGCAGCAAGGCTGTGACATTTCACCCAGGTTGGTAATCTTTTCTCCATCCTTTTGCTCATCTTCCCTGCCAGTCCCTTGATGAAGGGCTTGGGAATTATTTCCTCTCATTCAGTGTTCCAGATTGGGTTTTGGTTTTGTTTTGCTTTCTTTTACCATGTAAAATTCTCAGCTGAAACTATCATTCAGTTTTCAGTTAGATATGAGCATTATACACAGCATAATTTTCATATTGGTCCCAGTGCTTGGCCACTTCCCCTTGATGACCTCAAAGAGTACAAACAGAATATCATGTTCACATAAGCCAAATATAACAAAGAAAGCAAAGCTTCCACCTACAAATTCATATTTTATCATCTATATTTTCATATTCCGAAACTGCCTAAAGGATGGGGAAATGGCATAATGTAGCTTTATATTCTTTACCTTATTTGATCTTCCTGTGAGGCAGGAAGCACAAGGTTGGGTTGTTTTGGTTTTTTTTTTTTTTTGGTTGGCTGGTTGGATTTTTTGCTGTTTGTTTCACAGATTTGACAATGGAGATCCACAATGGAGAAGTGACTTCCTCAAGGTCACTCAGAAAATCAGTATCAGAGCCAGTATTTGGAGCCTAGGTCTCTTGCCTGATTCCGTCCAGTAGTGGAAAGAAGCCTTACTTGGCAGTCAGTAAAGCTGAATTCAACTCCCAGCTGTTCCAATAACTCATTGTGTGACCTTGAGCAAATCACTTTCCTTTTACAGAATTCATGTATTTAATAATGACAATAATTAGCATTTACATAGTGCTTTAATATTTGCAGAGGACTTATATATTATTTCATATGATCTTTACAGTAATCCAGTGAGGAAGATAGTATTATTATCCCAGTTTTACAGATAAGGAAACTGAAGCTGGGAGAGACTTGCTCAGGGTCACACAGCTAGTAAGTGTCTGAGGCAAGATTCAAACTTAAATCTTCTGATTCAGAGCTGGACATTCTATCCACTGCATGATCAAGGTGACTTTCAAATGAAGGGATTAGCCTAGGGGCCCTTAGACTAGGCGATCTCTTAAGGTCCCTTCCAGTTCTAACATTCTTTGGTACTGGGGAAAGAGAACTGCTTTTAAAGTCAGAGGACCTGCTTTAAATCCTAGCTGTGCCAGCCAATTCCAGTGTGACCTTAGGAAAGTCACTTAACATCTCTAGACATTAATGTCTTCATGAGCAAACTAATTTGAGATTGAACTTGATAACCTCTTAGGCACTGTGGCCTCATGGATAGAATAGTGTACCTGGAGCAAGGAAGACCAGGATTCAAATCCTGTCTCTGACACTATCTTTGTGACCCTCAGTTCACTCCTCTAAGCCTCAATAAGGGGGGAAGTGATTGGCATACACGGCCTCTGAGGTTCCTTTTGTCTCTAGATTTATTATCTTTTGGTTTTTCTAACTCAGTTATGATCTCATGATCCAATGATTCTATGGTATCAGGCCCCTTCCGGGTCTAATGTTTTTGTTCTGTGTTAAAAGGTACCTTTCAGGTTTATCATTTTATGATTATACAGCCAATGCAGGGACACTGTCTCAAGAAGCTTCCCATAAAAAACTGAACTTCACTCAGCCTATATACATTAAATAAACATTAACAGTACTAATGCCAACTCTCTCAAACTCATATTTTCAAGGCACCAGAAGAAAAAGGGAAAAAAAAACATAACTTTCTGAACCTCTGCCTACTCTAATTTTGGAGAATCTCTCTCTCAATTAAACTGTTCAAGCCTTGAACTTTCAGAGCAAGCCAAGGAGAAAGCAATTTGATTTCTCCCTTGCTGCTGGCCAGAACTGCTGACTGAAACAAGGAGAACAATGCTTTCAGATTCTTATTCAGGAATGCTTTTATCCTTCTCCAACACACTTATTTTAATACCTCTAGGAGCTTCTGAAAGTTCTACCCTCTCCCCCTTTGTAGGAGTCTGTGAAGTGACTTAATACAATAGTTCAGGCTTCAGGTTGCATCCATTTGGAGCTAAGGATTAAACTTGAAGCATAAATAAGCATTTAGTTGGAAAATCTGGTGGGACTGTCTGAGTCTGCTGTCTATGATCTGTGATACAGGGACACCATCAAGTTGAGGGCAGGCTGAAGCAGCTATTATCACAGTAATTTAGAGCTAGCCCAGCTCCGTCCCTCCAAGCAGGTAAAGTATTCATATCCCCATTTTAAAGATGATATGGCTGAGGGCCATTACAATTAAGTAAATTGTCCAACATCACTCAGTGAATGGCAGAGGAATCAGAACCTAGCTTCACTTATCTCTTTTTTTAATGATGTTTTTCCCCATTTAACCACACTGCCTCTTTACAAATATCATCTACTTGGTTCCTGTAAGTGTTCATTTGCTAACTGATATAAATAGATAGATAATTAGATGATAGATAATAGAAAGGGAGGGAGGGAGGCAGAAAGGCAGGGAAGAATGAGGGGAGGGAGTCAGGGAGAATAGAGGAGGGAAGAAGGGAGGGAGGGAGGGAAAAAGGAAGGAAGGAAGGAAGGAAGGAAGGAAGGAAGGAAGGAAGGAAGGAAGGAAGGAAGGAAGGAAGGAAGGAAGGGAAGAAGGGAGGGATGAAGGGAAGGAGGAAAGGAGAGAAAGAAGAAAGGAAGAGAGAAAGGAAGGAAAGGAGAAAGGAAAAGGAAAGAATGGAGGAAGAGAGGGGAGAGGAGAAAGAAAGAAAGAAAAAGAAAGAAAGAAAGAAAGAAAGAAAGAAAGAAAGAAAGAAAGAAAGAAAGAAAGAAAGAAAGAAAGAAAGAAAGAGAGAGAGAGAAAGAGAGAAAGAAAGAAGGAAGGAAGGAAGGAAGGAAGGAAGGAAGGAAGGAAGGAAGGAAGGAAGGAAGGAAGGGGAAGAAGGGAGGGATGAAGGGAAGGAGGAAAGGAGAGAAAGAAGAAAGGAAGAGAGAAAGGAAGGAAAGGAGAAAGGAAAAGGAAAGAATGGAGGAAGAGAGGGGAGAGGAGAAAGAAAGAAAGAAAGAAAGAAAGAAAGAGAGAGAAAGAGAGAAAGAAAGAAGGAAGGAAGGAAGGAAGGAAGGAAGGAAGGAAGGAAGGAAGGAAGGAAGGAAGGAAGGAAGTCAGACAGATATACCAGACACTGTGCTAAGCTTCAGGGATAGAGATACAAGCAAAAAAGGACAGCCCCTTCCTTCAAAGAGCATACATTCGCATTAAGTAAGGTGAGGGTTGTTGAAAAGGAGAAAGAATGGTGTGCATATGGCTGGGAAGCAGTCTAGATGGAGATGGAGAAGGGAATTTTATCAAGGGAAGTTGACTTGTATAAATGACTGCTAGCCTTAATATCTCTTTTCCAAACTGATTCAGATTGGGTTTACCTACAGGCCTCTGATATCCTTTTAATCAATTCCTATTGGCCCAGGGTCACTCAGACCCAGTGAATGGTGCAAAATGAGGCAGAAAGCAAACTGTATATACTATAGGATCAAACCTTCACTTCTGACTACTGATGTTCTTTCTGTCTCTTCAGCCTCCTGGACTTAGTGTGGCTTTATTCTGATAAAGTAGACACGTGGTCCTTCATGAATCTGTATGTTTCTAAGAAACAAAAAGCCTTATAATTCCAAGTCTCTTACACTATTCCCAGTTTCCTACCTTTGTGCATCAACATTTCAATCACAATCATGAGGAAGAGAATTCTCTCTCTCTCTCTCTCTCTCTCTCTCTCTCTCTCTCTCTCTCTCTCTCTCTCTCTCTCTCTCTCTCTCTCTCTCTCTCCCTCTCTCTCCATTTTTTTTTTGTTTTCCGTTGCCTGTAGCCTCATAATTGCTACAGAATTTGTGTGTGAATGCAAAGGTCAGTCAGCCATTGGTTATTACAATAGACATTTCTCATTGGCCAGATTGTTCCCATGGTGAATCACCTAACCTGCCCTGATAAGTGCATTGGTGCAGAGAGGCGGGGTATCCGCTTTTTAGTGTTCCAGAAGGGCCACCACCTCCCTGGCCCAGGATTTCATCTCACTGGGAGTAATTAACTTCAGCAGGTTAAGATAATTCCTCTACATTTCAGCATATTTCTAGAATAGACAAAGTTCTGCAAGTTGAAATAATGATTTCTCCTTGTTCCTTGACTACTCCCCTCTGGTCTATAAAAAACTAAAACTGCCCTGAGTTATGTTGGCTCCCAGGAGCATGTGGCAATGGCCTTGAGAGCACAAAGGGGAAGTAAAAGTGAGTTAAAATGACCCATCTTTAACCCCCTGGCTCATAGGAAATTAATCTCAAAGGGATAGAGGAACCATAATAACAAGTTACCTTTTCTTTATTCTTACAAAATAGCTTCCATCCTTTACCTTATTTGATCTTCAAAATAGCCCTGTAAAGCAAGAAGTACAGGTATTCCTCTCCATGTTTTACAGATAATAAAATTGAGGCCCATTTTTTTTCAAGGGGATATGACTCCCTCAAGGTCACTCAGCAAATCAATGTCCGAGCCAGAACTGGACTCCATGTGTCCTGACTGACTCGGTCCAGTATTCTTTCTATTAGACCTTGCAGCCTGCATTCTTTAGCTTACCACAAAATCATCAAGAAACTCTCTAACCCAGTGTACATCAATTTTATTGGCCATGAGGTATCATCTGCACACCGTCTGGATCCACAGTTAACTGAGTGTTAAGTCCTACAATTCAGATGCTACTGGCTGGGTACTCAGGGAGTTGACATGTGCAGCTGCTGCCTGCTGATTTATCTCCTCAACGGCATGCAGAAGTGGCTAGCCTGTGTTAGAGATGGACACTCATTCTCTTCATTGGAATTTTGGAGGGACATTCATCTGGTTTTTAATCTTCTCTTTAATTTACTGATCTCCATATTGGCACCTGTTATCAGAGTAGGGAGAAAAAGGTGGGGGAATGGCAGTTTTCTCTTTTGGCTGCTGTGGGTACAGCTTTAAGAATGTAAGTGGGAACTAGTCAGTTGATGAATCTAAAATGTTTCTGAATTTACACTCTGTGTTAGCTGCTGGGAGGCAAGAAGGGGAGGGAGAAGTAAATACTAAAACAGGTCCTTATTCAAGGAGCTTACAATTTTTGTAAGCTCCCTCATTCCGACTGTCAAGGTTTACATAGAAAAAAAAGTATTTTGAATTAGAGGGCCTGGGTCTTAAGCCTACTAGCTATGGCACTTAATAGCTATGGGGCATGAGGCAAAACCTTTTATCCCTCTGGGTCTCAGTTTGCTCATCTGTAAAAAAAGAATGTGTTTGACTACATGATTTCTAGGACCCATTCAGACTGTAAATCCTATGATTTAGGGCTAGCTAAGTAGTGCAGTAGATGGACCACTGGACCTGGAATCAGGAATACCCAAGTGCCTCACACATCTATTGTGTGACCCTGGGCAAGTCACTTAACCTCTGTTTGCCTCAACTTCCTTTTCTGTCAAATGAAGATAATAATAGCACCTACCTCACATAGTTGTGGTGAGGATCATATGAGGTAATATTTTGTAACACTTAGCACAGTTCCTGGAACATAGTAGGTGTTAAATAAATGTTTTCCATTCCATTTCCTCTCCTTCTGCCCAGAAGCTTTTGGTAGTTCTCTATTGTCTACGGCATAAAGTACAAAGTACTCAACCTTGTACTTAACTCCTTCCATGATGTAAGCCCATCCTATCTTTCCATTTTATCTTCCACTTCTCCCCTACATGTATTCCACCCTTCAGCCGAATTGGAGTATTCTCTATTTCCTCAAAATGCCCTAAGTCTTCCTGCTTACATTCATTTCTTTGCTCATGATTGTCTCTCCACTAAATACTCTCTTTGTCCTCTCTACTCAGTGCAAACTCTGAGTTTCCAATTCCTACTCTTCCTTCAAGGCATAACCTCAAGGACCACCTCCTCCAGGAAGCCTTCCCTAATCACTCCCAAGCTGAAAGTAACCACTCCTGAATTTGAGTGACCTATTTGTATCTCATGTGTGCATGTACTTCATCCTGTGTTAACTGTGCATATTAACCACTGATAATCCAGAAGCTCCATGAAGATTCTATTCCCATCTACCCAGTGCTTAGCATAAAACCTTGAACATATTAGAATTAGGAAGACTCATTAGAGGAGAGGAAGACTTTAGATTTACCTTGAAGAAGGATAGAATTTTAATAGGAAGAAAGAAATAGAGAAGGTATTATAGGAAGAGGACTAGCCTGTGCAAAGACAGGGGCAGTAAAGCATAAGCCCACAGAGAAATAGGTTTCATTGATGTATCACAACGTTATCTCAGGCTCCTGACATGGTGATGGCCAGAAGGATGTCCAAGTCTACTACAGGCCAGCTGATAAGCTGTTGACCATATTGCTGACCCATGAATATTGTCCCAGATTTATGCTAGAGACAAGGTTTGTAAAACAAAAAAAAAAATGCCAGTGCTAGTGGTAGCATGAGCTGGAACAGAAGAACTGAATTGGGAATCGGGAAACCTGCATCCTTGTCCTAGATTTGCCATGAATTTCCCATATGATCTTAGGCAAATTGCTTCCTTTTTCTGGACCTCAGTTTCCTCTTCTGTGAAATATTGGGTTTAAACTAAAGAAACTCCATGGCCCTTTCTAGTTCTGATATTTTGTATTTTAGGATCCTTTCTAGCTCTGACATTCTGTGTTCTAAGGACCTTTCTACTTCCAATATTCTATGTTTTATAACTCCTTTTACCACTGAAAATGTATGGTCTGTCATCCCTTCTGCTTATGAAATCCCGCGGTTCTATACTTTTCAGGTCCTCTGTCATATTTGACATCTGTGGGTGTAACTCCTGCCTTCACAGGACCGTAGCATCAGCTAGAACTCCCTGCTTGCTGAATTCCCATTCATGGCACCTCCTGATTATTTCTTTTCCCTGGTCTCCCATATTGCTACAAGGCATATGACATCTCAGTGACTGAAGAACACCCTGTGCTGGTAGATTGTCCGGTGTCGGAGATTCTGATTAGCACCTTCATAACTACTATGGGGACTTATTACTGAGTGATATCTGTTTAGAAAAAGGAAAAAAAAGTTGTTTTTCAGCAGTAAATTGAGCGTATTGAGAGCCCAACAAGTATCTGAATGAACAGAGTATTTTGAAATCTAAACAGATGGTTTCATAACTAAGACCATTGAAATATTATCTATGTAACTATGGACAAGCCATTCCCTTGCTATGGAACTCAGTTTACTGCTCTATAAAAATTAAGAGTTAGAGAGAAGCACCATTGCATGGTTATTTTCCTTCATTCTTGAAGAGGACCAAAATGATATTGCTGTCTTGGGGGCTGTTGCATAGAGAATAGAGAGCTAGCTTTAGAGTCAGGGAGATCTGAGTTCAAGTCCTACCTTTGACATACTTTAATACTGGATGTATATGTGACCCTAGGCCCTTGAAGAGACATCAGAGATTGTACAATTTTTAGCTGTAAAACCGTTCTCACACCAATAACTAAGTACATAGCTTTCGGCATCTGACAGAATATAAGCAACCTTGCATTCCATCCTAATCCCAAGAGGAACATGAAAGTAGTTAAAGTAGTACAAGATGTTGATGCATTCATATTTCACCTCAGAAAACCCTTCTTACAGTGCAAATTCCAAATAGAGTAGAAGAGGTCACTTTTGTATTGTTTTGTGAGCATATGCTCATTGTCACTTATGCCAAATGTCACCACATTTCTAAATTGTTTGCTCAGAGAAGGCTATATGACAAAATAATCAGAGTTAGCAGTTTTGAGACACAATGCATTTGTGGACCTGCATGAGGATTTAAAGCTAGAAAGAAATGGAATTGGAAAGAAAAACATTTCCATTTCTTTTACGTAACGATATACAAGATACAGGGCTGGAATAGAATGGAGGTTTTAATGATATTTCTTCAAATAGCACTAGACCAGGAATCAGGAACCTTGAGTTCTTGTCACTACTCTGAATGTCACTGTATGAGACACTTCATTTCTCTGGACCTAAGTTTTATCCTCTATTAAATGAGCAGGTTGCATATGATCTATATGTCCCTTCCCATTTTAAAAGAGCCTTTACTCTCTAATTTTCTTCCTTCGGAGGTCTCTTCCAATTCTAATATTCTGTTTTCTATATTCTAAGGCTTCCTCTAACATTGAAATCCTAAGGTTTGATAAATTCCTGAAATGGGTAGGAGATTGTAGTAGATATCCTACTGGGAAAGGAGTTCAAATGACAGTGGCTTTTCTGGAAAGACTGGAACAGAGATATGATATGATTTGATTTGATATGAATCTACATTCTCTGTATTTTCTGGACATTGTATGAAAGCTCTTCTCTAAAGTTTTCCCCTGCCTTACAGTGGTATGGAAATGGTCTTGAGTTCTCAAAGACCCTGCCAACATACCACTAACTCTAGTGGGTCCTGTCAACCTAGGAGGGCTTTATTATGGGTCTGGTGATTCACTGTATGTCTGGCACATGAGGACTACCCAAGCTAAATATGGAAGGGCTAATTGAATCTCCAAGATGGATGAATTAATGAATTAAAAGCTTTTATTAAGCATTTAATATGTACAAAATACCATGTAAAGCACTGATGATACTAATACCAAAAGCAAGTCATTTCCTGCTTGAAGCAACTTCCATTCTTATGGGGAGACAACATATCTTAGGAACTGGTGGCCAAAGAAGGGAGTTATGGATCTGGGAAGGAACAAAGATGGTGAATATTGAATAATAGGGCAGTCAATTAACATAGCCTTATTAGAGTCAGTGATGGTGCTGCTTTGATAGCAGTTCTCAGAAAAAGAAGTGGAGGTGGGGCGAGGGTGTTGGAGTGTTATAGAAATGGACAGACTGAAGATAAGGCTATGTGGTCTCCCAGGGAGTATCAAACCAAGTAGATACGCTTCTCCCAGGTACAATCTCTGGAGGTTCAGTTGGGTGAGTGGAAAATGCCCAAAATGAAGGTGCATAATCTCAAATAGTTCATTGTGGTCTTTAGCAGAAGAATTATTTTGTCCATAGTAATTCATGAAATTGTCTACTCTGGCATGGAATGGATTTTGAAGGGGTTACCAAACTTACAAAATCATAAGTCTTCAGCGGTGTTGAAGTATAGAAGCTGAATGTTATGGTTCACAAAAACCATATTTCTTACAAGCATGGAAGCATACCTTTGAGCAGTGTAAGGAATTTCTTTAAATCACCTAAACAGGAGGGTGCAGAACTTTAAAGAGAGTGGCAGAGGTAATATGGTAGGAAAAAACACTTCATTTGAAATTAATCCACAAGGAGGAAACCTACTTTTGAACAAAAGACCAAGTCAAAGGAAGGAAATGGTAGTTTCCCCAAAAATAAAAAAAAAATGGCTTCTATTGACCTCTAAGTATGTTGAAGACTGCAGGTTATATCCACAGATTGTCAAAAAGATTGAAAAATGAAAACTGTCAGTTTCACTGACAAGCAGTTACCTGCTAGTTGAAGTCATGGATCTTACTATGTAGTGGATGTCTTGGGGCATTTGATAAGGAGGTAGTGATTCAGTCATGAATAACACAGCCCAAGACTAGAATCACAGAGATATATTAGAACACAAAATGTTAAAGGTCAAAAGGAACCCTAGAACATAGCCTATAGAATGACTAACTTTGGAAGGATGCCATAATGTAGAATGTTAAAGCTTTTATCTTAAGGCTCTTAAAACATACAATAGCAGAGCTGGAAAGAATCTCAGTAATATAATAGAAATAGTTTTGGTCAGTTAGGGTTTGGTTTAATTCCTAAAGCCCTTTGCAATTCGTTGCCCTTAGAGACCACCTTAATACATTGATTTCATTTTACAGAGGTAGAAATTTGTGACTCAGAGAGGTTAAGTGATTTACCCAA